TGCTGAGTCTCACTGGACACAGAGCCATAGGTAAGGCAACAACAATACTCATATAAACACAGAGGCTGAAGTTGAGTCACCCTGCTGAGACTCACTGGACACAGGCCCATAGGTAAGGCAACAGAAATACTCATATAAACACAGAGGCTGAAACTGAGTCACCCTGCTGAGTCTCACTGGGCACAGGGCTGTAGATTGGGGGCACCATAAGTGATATAAACATAGAGGCTGAAGCTGACTCACCCTGCTGAGTCTCACTGGACACCATTACTCATTTAAACACACAAAAGCCAAAGTTAGCCCTGCATTTGTCTGTCCTTTACATTTAGAATCATACTTTGGTTTTCCACTTATTATGCTGAGCAAGCTACAAAATATTGGGGATTCTAAATAAGACATATATATTATTCTTGGGGGGAAAATCAGCTTAATTTTTATACTGGATTTACCTTTCAAGTTAGACATTTAACATAAAAAGTACTGAGAATACTTTATTAATTTTAAATTCCCATTTATATCTTGGACATATTTTATGCATGATATCACTGACATGTTGGTGGAGTGAAACATCTTGAGTTATATCAGCATGAACATACTGCTGCTAATTTTCACTGCAGTTAAAGGTAAACGAACAAAAAAATAGCACGTAGGAAGAAAGAGATGTGAAGGGAAGAGGAGTGAAGAGGAGGAGAGCAGAGCCTCCATAAAGGTGCTGGTTAGACATGTTGATCTGATGTGGCAGTAACGAGTTAGGAATGAACTTCACATCCTTCCAGTCCAAAACCTTTCCACATCTTTCCATGTTTAGTCAGGTTGCAATTCATACAAGGATCTATCTTACTTACATATTTTCTTTTTCCCAAAAAGCATCTTAGAATTACAGAATGAATTTTCACTTAAATTTGTATTCTCTGTTAAATTTGTATTCATTTTGTTTTAACAAGTTCATCAAGGGGGTGATTTTGTAGCATTTGGTTTTAACTAGTTCATCATTGCATAGTTCTCAGGCATTTTGCCTTAATTAGTTGGGGTATTTTTTAGCATATTTTTCTTAGCTTGTTCAACATTGGAGTGGATTTGTAGCATTTTATTTTCACTAGTTCGTCGTGGGGGTAGATCTGTACCTACATGTTCTAACCAGTTCATCATGGGGGTGGTTTTGAAGCTGGTGTACTGTGTTAGTACAGTGGCTCTGTCAGCAGAAGCCGTAAGCAGACCGGAACAGGGGCTCAGTCTGCCAGTACCACCAGGCCAGTCTGTACCACTGTACCACCAGGTCAGTCTGCTTACGGCTTCCGCAGACCAAGCCACTGTCCCGTCATGTCTGCAGAAGCCATAAGCAGACTGACGTGGCGGTACAGGGGCTCGGTCTGCGGAAGCCGTAAGCAGACCGAAATGGCGGTACAGGGGCTCGGTCTGCGGAAGCCGTAAGCAGACCGGAATGGCGGTACAGGGGCTCGGTCTGCGGAAGCTGTAAGCAGACTGACGTGGCGGTACAGGGGCTCGGTCTGCGGAAGCCGTAAGCAGACCGGAATGGCGGTACAGGGGCTCGGTCTGCGGAAGCTGTAAGCAGACTGATGTGGCGGTACAGGGGCTTGGTCTACGGAAGCCGTAAGCAGACTGGCCAGTACAGCGGCTCCGTCTGTGGGGGGCATAAGCAGACTGGCGTGGCGGTTCAATGGCTCGGTCTGTGGAAGCCGTAAGCAGACCGGAATGGCGGTACAGGGGCTCAGTCTGCGGAAGCTGTAAGCAGACTGGCGTGGCGGTTCAATGGCTCGGTCTGCGGATGCCACAAGCAGTCCGACGAGGCAACACAACATCCAGGTGTTTCCTCAGAGACGGGGCAACGTGTTTGCTGGGTGACATGATGTCACACATTCCCGAACGCTGTACGGGATACTGGCTCACATACATCTATGTCCCAAGTTCATTTCCATGGAATGATCTGAGGAGCCATTACGCAAGTGACATAAACTGTGAAGAACATCTTCTCAGTCCTTTACCTCATACCTCATCGTAATCTACATCTTGTCGCCATTCACGTATGAAGCAGCAGTAGGTTTGCAGTATCACACACTGTCTATTTTAAGCAAACAGGATCTCTGTCCGCCCCCAGCTTGGGTACTAATGCGGTGCCTTGAACCAAAATGGCTGCCCAGAACCCCATCCCCTGTCCCTCACGGGCAACATGGGGGGTGTGGGGGGGGGGTAGCCGCAAACAAAGCCCTCCGGTCCTGACCTGCAGGGATGAAGAAGAGAGGCATCTCGTCGCAGCATAATAATCACTCTTCAGACTGATAGAGCGCAGTGAAGCTGCATCATCAATGCCAAGCAGCAAAGCCCCGTAAAACTGAACAACAAACGGAAACAGGGGGGTCGGGTTTTGGGCAGGGGGGTGGGGGGGGGTGCAGCACTTTCAGACAGCTAATGCCAAAGCAGACCTAAGCGTTCCCCAGCAGACAATGTGATGATGTTTGTCCAAACATTCATAAGACTAGAAAAAAGGGAATTAAATGAATTCTGGGATTCCGGTACCAGAGACCTGTCAGTCAGGAATCCATCCATCTAACTAATTGGCTTCTTACCCTTTTTCCATCAGGTTTTTTCTTAACTGGTTGCCTCTGGCTAAAAATGCAAATGAGGGGGAAAGGAGCCGTCTCGGAAAAAAAGAGGAGAAAAATGCAGCTTTACTTAATTATCTGTCTGAGTCAGGACCAACTGACGCTGGCCCACACAGTGGAGTTATGCTAAACAGCAAAGCATCATGGGAATTGGAGTGACAGCTCATTTTCCTCCTGCAATTTAATATGAAAGGTGCAGCAGAAGCATAGGGTTTTTTTTCCCACACTCCCTCTGAACACCTTGGTGAGAGCTCAGGGGAGCGCGGTGCCAAAGCTGTCATCGGCACAGACACGCTCTGTTTGCCTCCGCTGTGACGGGGGTTGTTGACAAACGCCAGCAGTCATCTCACTATCCTGGGAAATATCTGCCATCATTTTGTCAGCAGACTGACAGAAGCTGTTAATGTCTGATACCGTAACAGTGACAGAAACCCATCTTCCTCACAGCATTTGACATACTGGTCTCAATTCATATATATAATATTTTTCCTGTTTTCCCTCACTGAAAAATTAACAATTACTCAATTTCTCGCTATCCGTGTCCCGCTGTAAGAGCAGGGGTGGATTTTTTTTTTATGAGAATTGCGGTTCCTGCCAATTTAAGGCGAAATAAATTGACATTCTGTGCAATTCCCATTATTAATTCAAGGAGTCTCTTCTCCTGCATCGGTTAACACACTTTACAAATTAGAGGGAAAAACACGAAAAGAAGCAATTAATTTATTCCCTTTCTAGTTCTCCTGTCCTTTACATGAATGCGAGTCTCCGCCGAGAGTATTAATTAAAGACCGAAGGCTGCCCTGCACCCGTTTTAATCTTCCGCTCACAGGTATTACGGCTGTAGCCTTGCTAACGCGTGTCCGTGGCGGCTAAACCGCGGGGGACACTCACTAATTGTCATGCGTTTTTTAAATCCAACATCAGTGGGTTTAACCTACTGTACAGTGAGCAGCTTTTACAGTAAAATTTTATTTAACTGCAAGAATGTCAAAGGGCAACAATTAACCTTGAAGAAAAAGGCTCGATGAATTAACTTTCCCATCTTGCTCCACTCAGTGTTCTCGCGATCGTTACATCGTTAAATCGAGGCCCTGAAATCCTTGCTGACTTTTGCAAAATTTGACAGTCAAGTGATTTGAAAAAGAGCATTTTCAGCAACAGATTTTTGTCAAGTGCACTGTGTATATATGTGTATATTATTATTTTTTTAAAATTCGTAATGTAATGTTTGTTTTTACCTGACCATTTTGCTATAAAGTTCCCAGTTGAGATACACGCTTTTTTTTTTCTTTTTCATTTTGGGGTCCTCACAGCCCCGAACACCCACTAGTGTATCTGACGCGTGCTGTTTGTTCCAGTTCTGTTCCGCCGGACCATTATGAACGATGGGCCATTGGCTCTGAGCGTCTTTTTCCTGACAAATATTAAAATTCGCTTTAAGACAAGTGGCACTGCCGGTGTGTTGTCGCTCGCTACCATCCGGGTCGTACACGGAAACGCCGAAGGCCAGAAAACAGGCATGCGAGTGAGGGAGCGATGCAGCGAAGTGACAGGCGTGTGAAATATGAAAATGTCTTCCCAGGGGTCGTCGCTCTGCATATATGGGACCTCTACTGCCTCCGCACACCCCAGCAGTGCTGGGAAGGGGGGGCCCAAGAGCACTGCATGATGCTAGGAATGGGGTGTAATCCCTGGACTGCATCTGCGTCGCTCTGCAAGCGAAAAGTGTGCAGAAACTGCTGACGCGTGACACAGAGCAGCACGGCGGCCTTCGACGAGCCCAGACCTGACAGACTCCAGTGGGGGGGCGCTCCAGAGCCGCGATGGAAGGACCGAGCAAGCTCACTGCATCAGTCACTGCACTGCAGCTCAGGTCACTGCTGCCGGTACGCTGATGCATGGACGGACGGACGGATGGATGGATGGACGTAGATAGATAGATAGATAGATAGATAGATAGATAGATAGATAGATAGATAGATAGATAGATAGATAGATAGATAGATAGATAGATTGATTGATTTTCCTGTCATAGGATGGTTTGTTGTATAGTCTAACGACCAAACGTAGAAACAACCTTATATAACAATCCTTGGAGCAGCACATCTGTCTTAGTCTATTGCTGAAATTTTACAGGAGTGATTGACACCAAAGCCAGCTTTTCATCTAAAACTCTATCACTGTTACTGTAGATTCACCCCATGGGACAGGAAAATAACATTACCAGTGGTAATTGAGTTAAGTCAGTCAGTTCACACAATAAACCAACCCCTGAGTCTCTCCCATCAGCTGTCTGTCTCAGATCATGACACTATAACTACAATGTGATACTGATGTTGGGACATATGCTTTTCACTCATCAAATCGACAGGTATTTACCAGGCTTACACTGTTTGCTTAGCAGAGGCTCACGCGCTAATGACCAGATCAAAGTGGAGCATCGGTGAGGTTCAGGAGGTGAACCAGTCTGCATGCTATCTAAAGGTATGTGCCACAGAGCACGACTGATCTTTGAGAAGATGGAGTTTTCCAGCACAAGCCATTCGTTTTATACAGCACTGCAGCAGGATGTTTCACACTACAGAGTGCAGCCGAGTTTCCCGTGCTGTCAAAACTGTCAGGGAGACTTTGCCTGTAGACATAAGCTATGCCTGCAGTTATTTTCTCATCATACTATAGCATAATCCACAGGAAAAATCCACAAAAATCTGTACCCACGTATTTCTGACTGCAATACTGTGGAAAGCATATGTTGTGCAAATAGCCAGGAACATTTTTTTCTTCCCAGCATTTACCGTTCAAAGGAAGATTTTGTCAGCCTTGTCAAATTTGTTTTCACATGAATGAAGACTTCTTTTGAAGAGTATGTATGGGGCTGAATAACTCAGTGGTTTTTCTGAAAGTGTAAGCAAGGGTTGGTGTGTCAGAGGTGGCCCTTAACCTCGGCAAACAAACGCAGATTTCTGGGTACAGGAAGACGAGCATCGAGGCCACGCCTTCTCGGACCCGCGACCATGGGAGGACACAATTAAAGTGCGCCTGGTCCTTGGTTTGGGAAGGATGCTGACTCTTAACAGCAGCAGCTGGGGCATTCGCCAGGCAGCCGTTTGTGAATCCACATCCAGATCAAAGGCAGCTTGTCTTCGGGGGGGGGGGGGTGGCTTGGTTCCTTGTTTCTCTGTGGGGGTGAACACTTCAAGGCTGGGGAACACAAGCCCATTTTCCTCACTGTCACCGTTTACCCTTCAGCTCTCAGGTGCTTGTTCATCTTGGTTAGAATCAGCCTCAAACCGCTATGCATGAATCCGTGATGCTTTTAAAGCTCACGCTGTAACCTGTGTTGGTCACAGTCTATATGTGGTGGGGTGTGACACAGCAGGTATGCATGTTGTCTTATAATCAGAAGGTCGCTGGTTTAAGTTCCAGGGTCAACAGAGTGATTTCAGCAATGACTCTGTAAGTGAAGTCAGCTTCTCCTTTGTCTGCTTTCTCAATTATTCCTCACTTCAGAAAAATGCCTTCCAACTAAATAAAATGTAAATGGTTTTCTCTGGTTCAATACTATATTGTTTCAAGTTTGAAAAACAATTTGACCAACAAATGCATACAGCACATTATCTCTGGTGTTTTACTCCTGCATTTTTCGATGACTGGGAACAAAAAACAAGCTGGTAAATGTGGCTAAGAAGTGTAGTGCAGTCTGTTTAGAAAGAAGACCAAATACAACCCACACACCATAAAAATGGGCAGGAAGACTTGATCCTTTAAAGATTGTGGTTTAATGTTGGTTTTCAAATATTCATCTAATATACGCAGCTTGATCCAGACAAGACAGCTTATGAAGTGAAGGAGTTAAAATACCATAAAATGAACATTTTCCACTGGAATTTGGTGGTGATGATGGAATGGGCCTTTGTGGCAGATCAGAGACACTTTTCTGTCTACTAAAGTAAACATGCAAAAGTTCTGGCTCCGTTTAGAAATGGAAAATCACTTTTTATCTTTTTATGTCATGTACTGAATAGGGTTGGTGTGACAATAAAGACCCACTTGACTTTCATGTGAAAAATCCGAGAAGCAGCACATCTAAATAGGCATTTTTTTTTAACTATATCCTGTAATTTGTTTTAAAATGTGATAATAAAAAAAAACATAAGGCAATAAATACTGTTTATATTATTATGGTAGGATTTTTTTGCTATTTACCAAAAATACTAATCTAAATGTAGATTTTTAAGTTGCCATGTTTTCGATGGCAAGTTTTGTGCTAAAAAAAAAAACCCCAAAATGGCTTGAGGAGTAACTGAATAACAAAACCCAAAGACTCTCAAAGAGGCGGATGAGGCAAGAAAGTACAGAAGCCTGAGCTCGTACGAATGCACTTGGGGGAAGAAGGGAATGTAAATGTGAAGCGTTTGAGTCCAGCAACACTGTTTCAACAGCCAGCACAGAAGCTGGAAGACACACCCCGGAAAGGATAACACACAGTTTGGTGTGTCAGCCATGAACACACAGGTTTAACAGCAGAATTTCACACACAGACATATTTTGGCAGGGATCTCCTGGTTGATTCTGAGGCGCCAATTAAAAAGTTATTTTTTTCAAACACTAAATAAACAGCTGGTGAGGAGAGTCAGAAGACCGTAGCGAGAAAGCTGGTTAGGAGAACATACTGCTTCATCGTCTCCTAAATAAATACCAAGTTTATTTAATATTTAGTGTAGTGACGGTTTGTGGCCAACAGAGGGCCCCCTAAGCCTGGTTTGAGTGTGGTAAACACTGCTGTTGCATTTTTTTCAAATGTGACATTACAACAAAAGTGGAAACAACCGTCCCAAAATGTTTAAACGTAACAGCAACACCTAACAAGAGTGTTTTTGAAAACGTTAAGTAAATTAATAGAATGTTTAGGTATCCACTCATTTGTTAGGTTCGTAAACAACTTAAGAACGCACCCATTTGTTAAAACTGGGAAAAAAATCTCACCAGACAATCCGGAACGCCACTCCTGACTTCATTAAGTTTTATGCTGAGAATTTCTGTTCTGTAAAAAGTTCATGCAAATTGCTTTATATAGTGCATAATTGTTTTACCACTGTAATGTTAGAGTGGGACCCCCCCCCCTCCCTCCCATTGTGATTTGCCTTTGGCTAATTCCACTGTACATTATTATGCTTTATTTGAGATATAAATAAAATAAAAATGTCTGACGCCTTCCATCAAATACTTCGTAATATAAGAACTAACTGAAGTTTTGAAAACAGGACAGCAATAAACAAATCAAGAGTGCAGGGTCAGCCAGTGTCTGGATTAACTGGGAGTTAAGAGCCTTGCTCAAGCCCAATGGTGCTGATCAGAGGCAGAGAGTCCTAACTCAGTGAACCACACACACACACACACACACAAACCATAACTGACACCGTGGTGAGTGCTGCCTTTCATTTTTAAACAAAATCGTGGGGTCTATAAAACCACACCAAGTCTTCACTTGCTGAAATATCAGTTTGCTTTATTTTGCTGGTGTAAATCACACGTTCGATGGGGCAATGTGATCAGGGGGGTGTCCACAAAGCAGGATTTCCCGGTTAACTGGATCACCCAAGCCAAACGTGGAAAGTGTCCAATAGGAGGAGAAGTGACATTCCTATTGGACAATCCTTACATTTGGCTTAAGTTAAATTTTGCTTAAGTTATATCCTGTTTCTGTAACACACCCCAGCATAGGAAGACACTTGGACTAAATGTATTTTTGATGCTTAAGCCAAACGTATCAAGTGGACATGGGTTATATTTATCAACTAAATGAAGGAAACTGCATCCGCATGAAGGAAAGTGCATCTGCATTAAGGAAAGACGGGGTTGTGTGGCTGTCCCTCTGTTTGTAATTGGAAGGTCTCCTGTTCAAATCCAGACCATTTCCAATCCATTTCATTTTCATTTTTTAGTAAATGGTCATTTATTATGGGATGCAATTCAAAACATGTCCACGGCTGATTGTGGCTCCACATAGTCTAATTAATACACATTAACACATTTGCTAAAGGATACAAACGGTGTTCATTTCTCATACAGCTCTGAAGGATTGTGGGATGTAACTGCATCGCTAGCACACCAGTTGTCTGTCACTAGCTGCACTGTCTTCGTGGATGTGTACGACACATTACAATTTACGGCGCTGCCCAAATGAAGGCGTGCATACACTTTCCAACCCAGTTCCAGTAAACCTCTTTGTTTTGACCCCATCGGCCACAGGCTCCCATTGTGATTGGCTGGTTGTCAGCTGACATGGAATTCCACAAAACAAGCTCCATTTCAAAATATGGTAACGTTATGGTAGATGGACTGCTTTTCTACTCCTACGAGTACTCATAGCGCTTTACAATACATGCCTCACATTCACCCATCCACACTCGCATTCATACACCGGTGGCGAAGGCTGCCATACAAGGGGCCAACCTGCACACCGGGAGCAATTTAGGGTTCAGTGTCTTGCTCAAGGACACTTTGATGGAGTCAGGAGGAACCAGGGAACGTTAGTTTCATACCCGTAGCCAGAACATGCTCTCGGCGAATTTCGCCAACCGGGGGGAACCCATCCGGCCACATTAAGCCTAGTTGCTAAAGACCGTCTGTAGCACAAGGCTAGCTATTGTGTATAATATAGCTCCACATGCAAAGAGGTATACGTGTATAAATGGCATGATAAACCAATGCATCCGGACACACATCTACTGCACAACGATACAGTACCAGACTGAGAACTGCAGGAGTTTGTACTGTATTTTCTCTTGGATATCGTCTAATCTATCAAGACCACTGAGGCACAAGCTTTAATTACTAAACGATTCGGCTGCTGCTTGTGTAATAATAATTTAAAATAATATTATCAGAGTATGGGAATTTAAACATCAAGTATCTCTATTCCTGTATTGCATGTCTACACAAAGCTGATTTAAAGCAGACTCGGCATATCTCAGGGGGAAAACAACTAGCCTATTAAAGAGTTTACTATGGGTCGTAAAATGAATACTGAGGAGACATACTAGACAAATTACCTCAGAACGGTTGGTCTGTCATAACTACTTGACTAGCACGAATTAGTCGCAACAATAAATAAAGTATGAATAAAAGTTTTAATTATAAGGCTCTTATAAGGTCTGCTGCTCGTAAAACATTAGAGCGTAAGTTTAAAAGCGGACAAATGACCTCAGAGATGTCTCTACCTTTGTGAAGTTCGCAAAGGCGGGGCAGTACAACGTTGGGCAAAGCAAAAGACTGCCAGAGCGCAGCTGGACCGTGGTTGTGACAAAGGGGTGTGGTTTATTGGACCTTGGTTGGAAATGGCGTACATGCCGGGGGTGTACATTGCGCATGCGGAAACACTTTACGGCACACCTATTCATCCCTTGCAGTCACGTGATATGTATTTACAACGACAATACTTGGCAGCAGCAATTGCAAACTTCGAATGTTTAAGTAGCGGAAAAGAAAAGATATGCCGGAAAAAGTCCATTATTTAGTATTACCAGAGGTTTTAGACGGCTGTCCTCAACAGACATCCGGATAGAAATATAATTAAATGTGCCCCCGGCAGATTTAAGTTGGTGAATGGATATACACTTGGATTTATGTGGTTTGCATATTCGAGGGATGCGAACAGGGTGTCACGGCACCATTCTGGTATCCCTTCCACTGGTTCCTGTCATGTATGCTCGTGCGCTTGCAATCAGAGTCCACTCTCCAGCTGTGCTATGTCTTTAAGCTGGGTGTCCACTGCTCCAAGAACATAGTATAGTGACTAATATGTTCATTTTTTTAATTGTAGTGATGCGGCATTTTCCGCGAAAAAGATAAACCAGCATTGGACGCGCAGCCTTTTGCTAGGAACCGTCTACAAAGTGCATTCAGTACGAACAGGGGAAACAAATATTGCTACTGGAGCATTTCTGCTAAGACTTTCTAACACGAAAATCTGTGAAGTTCTTCCAAAAAGACACTTGGAAGAAAAATAAACAATTTTAAAGTATAATAAATTAAATCCTAAAAAAGATACAATAATTTCACATACATAGTAAACCAATTATTGACCCTTCAAAGGTAGTAGTAGTTTCCAGATATGGTTAATGACTTACTACACTTGGAATTTCATAAAAAACTCCAATGACCAGAATACAACAAATCAATTTTTTGAAAAAATATTTTTTTTAAAATGAAAGGTTATACTACTTGGCAGACAAGTACACAATAATTCAATACATTAAAAATTACTGAAAATCACACAAATGAATTTCTCATTAAATTTTTCAGTGAGTGCCAGAGGTGAAGACTCACTTACTACAAGTGGAATTTTACAGAAATATCCAACAAAAAAGTTTACAATAATTCAATACGTTACTTGAGAAATTACTGAAAACCACGGAAATTAATTTCTCTCACTTCAAAGACGGTAGCTTCCAGAGGTGATGACTCATTTCAAATGGCATTTCCATTTATTATCCATTTTGGCTGCCTCTACAAGAAGACCGGAAGCGGACGCTGGCGCAAATTGGTTGCCGCTGCTTCTCGGTTTCTCCTATCGCCGCTTACTGCCATTGTCTGCTACCTGCTGGCCTTCCTGTCACGCTGCCGCTGAGAGCGCTGCCTACGCCGCTGCCGTGAGCACCTACTACGTCGTCTCCGAGAGCACTGCCAACGCTGCCGCAGTACGCACCTTTTACACCGCAGCCAAGAGCGCTGCCAACGCTGCCGCTGCGAGCGCTGCCTACGCAGCTGCCGTGAGCACCTGCAACTTCTACGTCGCCGCCGTGAGCGCTGCCTACGCCGCTGCCGTGAGCACCTACTACGTCGTCGCCGAGAGCACTGCCAACGCTGCCGCAGTACGCACCTTTTACACTGCAGCCAAGAGCGCTGCCAACGCTGCCGCTGCGAGCGCTGCCTATGCAGCTGCCGTGAGCACCTACTACGCCGCCGCCGAGTGCGCTGCCTGCGCCGCTGCTGCCTACGCCGCTTCCCTGAACACCTACTACGCCGCCGCCGAGTGCGCTGCCTGCGCCGCCGCTGCCTACGCCGCTTCCCTGAACACCTACTACGCCGCCGCCGAGTACGCTGCCTGCGTCGCCGCTGCCTACGCCACTTCCCTGAACACCTACTACGCCGCCGCCGAGTGCGCTGCCTGCGCCGCCGCTGCCTACGCCGCTTCCCTGAACACCTACTACGCCGCCGCTGAGTACGCTGCCTGCGTCGCTGCCGTATGCGCTTCCAAGCTGTGCTCATCACACCATTGCTGAGAAAGATACCACTGGATCTGTTGCTGCTCTCCTCTGCTTTCACCGGCAATCATGTGGATAAGTACGCCGTTTGTCTGTGGTTTACTCGCTGCCTGGACTATTTTGTCCTTCATGTTTAACCCATCAGCAGCGATACTGCGATACACGGCTGCTGAGCTTCTGCAATTATGCCCCCAGTCCACAATTAGTATTGTACCACTGTTTAGATATTCTTCGCTACCCCCGTCGGAAATACATCCATCGTGGTTCACGTAGGGGCTTTAGTGTTGATACCTCCAAGTTAATACCATCTATTTGATCCTCTACTCGTCATCATTATAAATTTGCTGGTGGGAAAGTTGACCGTAGGGTGCTGGCCAGCCTAGCCAGATCGACAAAGGTCAACTCCAGAATGGACTGCAACAATGTCAATTTTGGTTTATTTAATACCCGCTCTCTCACGAGTAAGGGTCCCCTCCTTCAGGATCTCTTGGTTGATCGTAAATTGGATTTTCTTTGTCTTACTGAAACCTGGCAACAACCTGGAGACTTTTCACAACTTAATGACTGTACTCCACCGGGGTTTGCATATGTTTGTCAGCCCCGTGAATTAGGAAGAGGTGGTGGTCTTGCGATAATTCACAGTAAAAAGTGGAACGTTTCAACGGTGCCCCCGCCTTCATATCGCTCATTTGAATCAATCACCATACAATTGAATGGGTCTACTCCGGTCATAGTCTCTACTGTCTACCGTCCGCCCAAGCCTAATAATGATTTTATAAATGAATTCTCTGCTTTTATTTCTTATCTTTCTTCACAATGTCCTAATGTAATAGTACTGGGTGATTTTAATATACACATGGATGATCCTAAATCTATTATGACCAAGGACTTTACATCTTGCCTTGATAGTGTTAGTCTACAGCAATACATTCATGTACCCACCCATTCTAAGGGTCATATATTGGATTTGGTCTGTTGCTCTGGTATCACACCTCGTAACTGTGAGGCGGTTGATTTTCCTGTTTCTGATCATAAGCTAATCACTTTTACTACTAGCTTAACTTTATATAAAAACAAACTGCCACGTGTTATGACATTTCGTAACGTTAAGTCTGTGGATCCTATTTTGCTTTGTAATGGTA